AGACCCTGACTGGCTAGTATCAGTGGCAGACCGCAGCTAATTTTAGCTTTTTCACACAAAGGCTGTAAGTAACCGAACCATCTAATGAGATTCTTATTCCATTTTCAATTGTCTTTCATTCCTTCTGATTAAATCAAGGAAGGGCTCAACTTGTTTCTAATAGACCTTTAAAAGTTTTCTAACACCATGCCCGACTTCCCTTTCTAACAATGAGTAGGCAACAGTATCCAGCTAGAACTTAATCATACTGTTTTGTTTCTCTTGTATAAATTTTTGGAAATGATGTTGATTTCCGTAAAAAATGAAGTTGTTCAATTGAGAAAACTTGACACACCCCTATAAATGTTCTTGAAAAACACATCTAAGTTACTAAAGGTGCATAGACTTGCAGGAAAGTATTAACAACTACACTAGCTGACAATAGTGTGGTTAATTCATTAAAATGTCAAAAATTGTGAGATGTGGGGCATCCAGCCTGGGGAATACTTCCCATAATGAAGAGGAATTTCAGACTGAACTGGAATTGTCTGCTGGCCTCTTCAGTTTCAGGGGCCACCTTTCTCCTCCGATTCTGGGAGGGACCCCAAGAAGAGGAGCCTCCAGCCAGGCAATCTGCAGCCCCAAGAAAAGCCTGTTAACATCACAAACTCAGCTTTTCTATTCTGCTGCTTTCTTTTCTAAACTTCTCCATTTCAAGGGGGATTTCCACCTCCCTGTGCATAACAAGAGTCTGCTGACCATGATTTTCCCCAAACAAAAAAGAGGAGTCCGTTTCCCTCTCAGATGCAACTTCATGATAGGCTACTTTGCAAAGGTGGTTTTGTTAAAGGCCCAGTAGAGCACTATGTCTTAAAAGTGGCCTCCTTTCTAGCTTTGTCCCCAAATGAGTGTGCTCTAGGGCTCACTGCTCTGTGTGAGAACTTCTCCTAAAGTACAGCCCTGACCTTGGTTTTCATTTCATTATTTGCATTACTGGGGATGGAACCCAAGGCCTTTGTACTGAGCTACATCTCCGGCCATTTGTTTGTTTGTTTGTTTGTTTAAACGAGGTTTCCTTGAGTGGCTAAGTTGCCCAGGCTGGACTCACACTTGTGATAGTCTTGCCTCAGCCTCCCACAGTGCTGGGATTATAGGCACGCCCCACCATACCCAGCTTGGCCCTCTCTGGCCCAGACACACTGAGCATCTCTGGCTGATCATCTCAGTTGGCCTTGGGTGTCCTTCATGTTTGGACCAATACAGAGCATTGGCTAGGAGACTGGGGTTCAGTGCTAGGGTGACCCCAGTTTGCTGGAAGGGTAGATTCTTGTCCCCTGCTCCCCTCTGCTTCCTGGCCACCAGGGGCCGAGCACCTTTTCCTCCTCCATGGCCCCTCTGCCATGCTGTTTCTGCCTTGGAGCCAGCTGACCATGGCCTAAAACCATGAGCCCAAATAAACTCCTCCTTTAAAAAAAAGGACATAAATGAGCACATTTACCAGTTGCACTGGTGGGAGCATCAGGTAGGCAGGCCACAGAAAAGTGGAGAAATCTCTTTGAGGTTTCAGGTGTTATCTTACAGCATTCTTACCTTTAGGGTTCATGGAAGCTAGAGGTTTGCTAAGCTCAGTGATACACTCTGAGAGGTTCATCTATTAGTCATGAGGATGTTAGTTCAGACACAGAGTTAAAGTGATTGGCCATTAAAGGGGCTAAGATAGTCCAAGATCACTTTGGCTTTCAACCTACATTCTATTGCTCCCTGATCATGATGTTCTTCTAGTCAGTCAAGGACTGCAGTATCTTTAATATGGATGCAGCTTAGTGCAGGGCATTTAGTTCAGTGGAACCACGCCTGCTTCACAAGCACAAGGTCCTGAGTTAGATCCCTGGTACCACACACACACTCACACAAAATGGATGCAGCTTTCTTAGCCCAGGATTGGTGGGATATACCTGTAATCAAAGCTATCAGGGAGGCTGAAGCAGGAGGATGGAAAGTTCAAGCTCAGCCTGGGCAACTTAGTGACTTAGTGACTTAGTGAGACTCTATCTCAAAATTAAAAATACAAAGGGCTGAGCATGCAGCTCAGTGCAAAGGCCCTGGGTTCAATCCTCAATACTGGGAGGAAGAAAGGATATAGCTTGCTCAGAGAATTTCAAGTCACACATTTCTCTGGCTGATCTCCCTGGCTTGACTTTCGAAGCCCTTCACCATCAGCCCAGTGTGGTGAGACCCTGGACACTGGCATTCTATATTAGAGTGACCGCCAAATTCCTTTGTGGGCTCTCTTCCCTCCTTAGGCCTCTGTTTTCCCCTTGTTAGAAAGAGAGAATCAGAATAGATGACATTTTGGGGGCTGAATTTATTGACCAGCTCCAGATCAAAGAGGCTTTGCTACTTTTGATTGCTTTATGCCTGACTTCGTTCTGTCAGGAAAAATAGGTCTGAGGGGTGGTGGGAATTAAGCTGCCCTGCCCTCTTCCTGGGGAGTGGGTCCCTTACATCAATAAACAGGATCCACAGCTTGAGAGCTGCTCACATTTGATCCCTCAACACTAGTTTTAGTGGAAGAGCCTCTTGCCTTGTCTTTTTTTTTTTTTTTTTTGTACCGGGGATCGAACTCAGGTCCTTGCGCTTGAGCAGCAGGCGGCAAAACCACTGAGCTAAATCCCCAGCCCTTGCCTTGTCTTTTAAAAAGGAAAACAGGACTTGGTTATTTCTTTCTTTTAAGGTGCATGAAACAGTAACCAGCGTAAAAATGCTTACACAGTGAAAGAAAACAAGGCAAAACAGGAGCACTCGAGGCAGGGCTTTATTGGAAAAGGAGCTGCTGATCTACCTCCAACAATGGCGAGAGAGGGCGAGACTGACTGGGGTGAGGTTTATATAGGGTGGTGCAGTAGGGAGCGTATCCTGAGAGTTGAGCAAGGGGACGCCAGGTGATTGGAAGGGGAGGATCGCCTGGGTAGCAGGGTGGAGCAACAAGTTGGGTTTTGCTTCTCCGGAGGGGGTAGGTTTTACTTTTCCGAAGTGGCTCATTTCTGTAATCGGGAACCATTTTAGGAACGGAGCCATTTTAGAATGTAGGACCATTGGGGCCATTTTGTCTGGTAGAGAACTCTATCACACAGGAACTAGGAACATAGCTCAGTGGTAAAGTGCTTAGGCTGTGTGAGGCCCTGGGTTTTTTCAATCCTCAGGGGGGAAAAAAGTTTGGACAATATAAAACATACAAGGAAAAGAGTGAAAGTCAAATGAATGTTATCTGCCCCCCTCCCCAAGATATCCTTCATAAACATTTATTGGTCATAATTTCAGATTTTTTTCTAAAAAATACAAAGACAGAGATCTTTACAATGAAGATAGGATTATTTCAGAAATACCATTACAGTTTTTTTAAAAAGTGAAATCATAACTCTTATACAAAAACAAAACAAGCACTTATCATGTTTCCATTGCTGTGACCAAAATCTGAGAAAAAGGGCCAGGGATTTAGCTCAGTGGTTTCGCCTCCTGCTGCACAAGCGAAAGGACCCGAGTTGCATCCCCGCTACCAAAGAAACAAAAACAAAAACAAAATCTGAGAAAAACAATTTAAAGGGCAAAGGTTTATTTTGGCTCACGGTTTCAGAGTTTCAGTCCATGGTCATCTGGCTCCAAGGAAAAAACATCATGGTGGAAGGGCCTGGTGGAGGAAAGATGCTTACTACATGGCATCTGAGAAGGAGAGAGAGGGAGGAGGGACCTAGACACAAGATGACACCACACCCCCCCACCTACGTCCTTCCACTGGGCTCCACCTACCGCTAATCTGTTTAGCCATGACCCATGGATTCATCCATTGATGGTGTTAGCATCCTCATGGTCCAATTACCTCTCTAGTTCCCACCTTTGAACATTGTTGCTTTAGGAATCAAGATACCAATATATGAGTGTTTGGTGGACACTTCATATTCAAACAGCAAGATTTGTCAAAGATTTTATTCAGCTAAGTATTTAATGAAGTAACAAGTAGCATATTATAACTAATTCAAAGGAGAATGTGAAAACAGACGTACATAGGCAATCAAGAATAGAGAAATAGAGGGCCAGGGATTTCGCTCAGTGATGCTGAGCCTGCCTTGAAAGTGCAAGATCCTGAGTTCAATCCCTGGTACCATAAACAAAACAAAACAACAGAAATAGAGCCAGACACTGTGACACATGCCTGTAATCTCAGGACACTGGGAGGCTAAGGCAGGAAGATCACAAGTTTGAGCCTAGCCCAAGCAATTTAGTAGTACCCTCTCTCAAACTAAAAAAAAAAAAAAAGAAAGAAAAAGGGGCTGGTGATGTAGCTCAGTGTGAAGGCCCTGGGTTCTATAAAAAAAAAAGCTGAGGGCTGGGGATTTAGCTCAGTGGTTTCGCTGCCTGCTGCGCAAGCGCAAGGACCTGAATTCGCTCCCCGGTACCAAAACAAAACAAAACAAAACAAAACAAAAAAGCTGAAAGAAAATTGGTAATCAATACAACATGGATTATTGTCTATAGGACAATAATGTGATGTTTGGAATCACCTCTTAAATTGGACATTTTGGGGATAAAAATCAGTGTGATAGGCAAAAATGCTTGCCTTGTTACCACTTTGCAATAGCCTCTACAGTTGCAAAATAGCCCTAGAAGACCCCTATAGAACTTCATAACTCCCAAAGAACCTAAACAACACCCATCATTCTATTGAAGAGACCCCCAATAGACTTAAAATTTTCCCCAAAATATGTCATGAATAAAATAGCTAATATTTTGGGTACACTTACTATGTGCCAGGCACTGTTGCAAGGATTAAGTATGAATATTCTCTCATTTAATCCTCATGACAGCATGTAATTAGATCATATCATCATTCTGTTTTTGATGATGTGAAAACTCATCTATGGAGCAGTTAAGCAACTTGCTCAATGTCACACAGCTAGGAGAGGAAAAGCCAGAATTTAAGCCCTGCTTGCTACATTTCACTATTGTTTATTTATCCAACTCAGAAGTGATGAACCATGGATGTGTAAACCATTCCCCACGTCTCCGAATTCCTCGAAGTGGAATTGGTGAGTCCAAGACTAAGTGTATTTTACACTCAGACGATGCAACCAAATTATTCTCCAAAAAATGACATCAATTTACACTCCTACCAGCAGCCAACTTCAGTTTTAAAAAGGAATTTCCCCGCTTTGCCAACAATGAGTAATATCAATCTTTCCAACACTTGCTAGTCTGATGGGTGGAAATCAAAGATATCTCAGTGTTATTTTAATGTGCATTTCTCTTTGATGCAAGAATTCTTTAGGAATCGTCCAGAAGGATAATTGTCAGTGCCAAAGATCACTTTGTTCCTCCTCTTTTCCCCCAATAGTAAGCTCAAAGTAAGATGCCAAGAGGGGAAGGGACCTGTCCAAGGCCATCCTGAGAGAAGGGCCAGAGTTGAGATCTCACCAGGGGTTTCTAGCTTCTTTCTGGAATAAGTAGCCTTTCTTGTGGGCTCCTTGGCCACCAGTGCTGCTTGTAGAATGAACACCAGTGGGAGGGACTCGGGATTTTTCAGCAGTAAGGTCTCCTTTAAGTTACAGGCAGGCAAAGAAGATGATCAAATTAACTAGGCCATTTGAAAAAAATAAAAACCCTAAACACTCAATTTCTACCTCCTCAGCAATGGATCAAATACTTAAATGAATGAACAAATGAATGAATGAAGAGACTATAAGAAAACTGAGTCAGTTCTATAGTTTTTTGTTTGTTTTATTTATGAGACAGGGTCTTTCTAGATAGTCTAGGCTGGTCTTGCACTTACTTTGAAGCCTAGGCTGGTCTCGAACTTATAGCAATCCTCCTTCCTCAACTTCATCCATGCTGGGATAAAAGGTGTGCACCACCATGCTGGGCTTCTGTTCTATAGTTTCTGTGATTTGTTAAAAAAAAAAAAAATCACAGAATAAAGTTTTGACAAACTGAACAATTTGAATTAAAACTTAAAAATGTCTAGCTTGCAAAAACAAAAAAACTCGTGGGCTTGAAAAGCAAAGGGAAAATGTATCCAAAATCCCACTTTCTAAGTACAAAAACATGCATCAGAAATTACTTCTGTATTCATTGACCAGTTACAGGAGCAGGAAAGATAAAGGCTGTGAGCAGTTGCTTGAAGATTTTTTTTAATCAATGTGGCTACAGTTGCTGTGGCTGTCATAATTATCATGAATTCCAGCGATGCAGCCAAAATGCCTGTGGAAAAGCATCTGGCATGAGAACAGGCGTGAGGGGGAATTTGTGTCGATCAATCACTGGTCCTCCAAAATGGAAAAGAGTCAGGCTCTAAAACCAGCCATACGTGCATTTGAACCATGGCTCAGCTGACACTTGCCTTTCCTTCAACAAGATGGGTACTGTCTTGCTTCCTTACCTCCTTTGTAAAATGAGTCTGCATCTCAAGATGCTTTGAGAAATGAACGAGGTAAGGGTGAACTACCCAGCACAGAGCCTGGTACATTTTAAAGATGTGTCCCTTTCCCATCACTGCTTCTGGGAGCCCACACTGACTCTGGGACCAGCCACTCCCTAGAGATGCTTATTGAGTAGTTGTTGTGCCAGCCTGTGCAGGTGCTGGAGCCCAGCAGGACTAGGGCAGAGGCAGGATCTGCTCCACTAGAGCCTAGAGGACATCTGACAGGAAGAGAAATCTTTTGTATACTCTGCATTGAGCTACATCCCCCAGTGTTATCCTCCCAAGTATTTAGGGTCTCAGACATGTGCCACTGTGGCCGGCTCAGGAACAGATAGTTGTTTTACTTGCCTTGCTGCATAATTTTTTTTTCTGATACCAGTGATCAAACTCAGGACCTTGTGCTTGCAAGGCAGGCATGGTGCCACTGAGCTAAATCCCCAGCCCTGCTGCATAATTTTTTATTAGTATGTGTTTGCAGTACATGCAGTTTACAATCATCTTGGGGAGTGGGTAGGTGTACATAATGCAGCTTGGTTCCTATTTTTAAAATCTCCTTCCCTCCTGTTTCCCTCCTCTAAATCCCCTTTCCTCCATTTTCATTCTTGTAGATATTATTAACCTTATCACATGATATGATGTACATTCAGTGAGGTTATTAGTTTCCTGTACATGGCATATCTTTATTCTCTTTACCTCCCCTTCCCCTCCCTCTCCTCTCACTCACGCTCTCTTGGACTCCTTCCCGTTTGCAAGAGGTTTATCCTCTTGTCTCCTTCTGTCCATATATTGTTGTGCTCTTTGTTTATACCTTGCCTCACTCAAAGGAGAGATACTGTATGTTACTTAAGCTTCTGTGTCTGATTTGTTTCACTCAGCATTATATTTCCCAGGTGTATCCATTTTCCCACAAATGTCTCTAATTTGTCCTTCCCTATAGCTGAATAGTATTCCATTATATATAGATACCACATTTTCTTTATCGAATAGGCCGTTGATGGGTATACAGGCTGCTTCCAGGATTTAGCTATTATGAGTTGTGTTGCTATAAACACTGGTATGCATGCATTGCTGTAGTGTGATGTCTTTAGCTCTTTGGGAAAGATACCTAGAAGGGGAATAGCTGAATCATATAGAATTTCTAACTTTAATTTTTTTTTAATTTTTATTTTTTGGTACCAGGGATCGAACTCAGGTACCTGCGCTTGTGAGGCAGTCGGTGAAACCACTGAGTTAAATCCCCGGCCCGTAACTTTAATTTTTTAACTGATTTCCATAGTGGTTGTACTAGTTTGCATTCTCACCAGTAAGGTAGAGGGTTCTTTTTTTCACTGCAGCCATACTAGCATTTGTTATTTTTTGATTTCTTGATGATCGCCATTCTTTAGGGACAAATACTTTTATAAAGATGAGTTATTTACAATTGAAGGAGAGCTATGAGGAAAAGAAGGCCAGAGCGTAGCAGGTGCCAAGTGAGTTGTGTGGGTGCTTGGCATACACATACTGGTCTCTGTTCTCAGGCCCTGGGAAAAGATTTGTTCTAATGTTTGGCCTTTGACACTGAGCTTCTAAATCCCTTGGAATTTCCTGGGTGTTAGAAGTGTGTTTTGTTCTAAGGAGGTAACTTTTGGTTGGCTCCCAGGTGGGGATCAGCCAGGAGAAATATGGAGTCTAATTATCAGCTTGTAGCTTTCGGCCCCATCTATTCTTCAAAGAAAGGAAAGGGGCTCCATAGGCAATCATGCCTCTGTGATGACAGCTCCATGGAAATCCTTGAGCCATGGGCTTCCCAGGCCTTCTGGGTTAGGGAACACACCCACGTATCTTGAGGGTAACATTCTCAACTCCTCAGGAGCAGAAGCTCCCGCACCTGGGGCCCTTCCCAACCTTGTCCTGTGTATTTCTTCATCTGTACCCCTCATGAAGAACTGTGTAAATGTAAGCCTAGTGCTCCCCTGAGTTCTGAGAGCTGCGGTAGCCAATTAATTGAGCCCAAGGGAGGGGGTAGAGGGAGTTCTCATCTATAGCCAGTCAGTCACAAGTCCTGGTGACTGTGACAGCCTGTTACCTCTGATTGCTGTCCTAAGTGGGGGCAGTCTTATGGTGATTTCTTTTTTTTTTTTGGTACCGGGATCGAACTCGGGTCCTTGTGCTTGCACAGCAGGCGGCAAAACCACTGAGCTAAATCCCTGGCCTGGTTAGGGGGCAGTCTTATGGGATAGCCCGTGACCTGTGGGAGCCAGAATTCAACTGGACAAGAGGACCCTCCACTGAGGGCTGCATGTGTGGGGAAATGGCCCTGGATATGGGTGTCGAAAGTGTTGTGTGAGAATAGGAACAACAAGGCCAGTGTGGCTGGAGACCAGGCAAGGCTGTTGTCATTCAGGGCCAGCATCCCCAGCTCGGGAACCAACTTAGGAATTCTGGCCCCCAGGGCCCCCAGTGTAGGAATTCTGGCTCCAGCATCCCCAGCAGGGGTTCATCTCAGCTGCAGTCTGGACTTCTCAGGCCAGGGCTCACTACTTCTCAGGTGGCCTGGTGTTGGGTTGATTAGGGCACCCAGAAATTCAGGTCCAAACTGCTGGCTACTGATCTCTGCAATCAGGAAGTGAACACCAGGCCCTGAGTTCTTGATCTTAATTCTGATGTAATTTGTCATTCCTTTGCCAAGTCTCACTTTCCCTTCTCCTGTATTTATCCTGTGTTGTAATTATCTGCTCATTTGTCTTCTCCCACTGTTTTAAGAGCGCCCCATGAGAAAGGAGTGTGTCTTTCTCCTCCCTATCTTATAGCACAGCCCTTGCACATATGAGGTGCTAATCAGGGCACGTTTATTGAATGAATAATAAATGATGTTTTCTAAAGTTTTACTCATTTGATTTTTCTTTTTTGGTACCAGGGATCAAACTTGGGACCTTATGCTTGTGAGGCAGGAGGTGGCACCACTGAGCTAAATCCCTGGCCCTCATTTGATTTTAAGTAAATATTATTCTTTAATACTGTTTCATTGAACATCTTCTGTGTGCCAAATGTATTATATATGTTATCTCATTGAATTTTTTTAGAGATTGACATGACTTTGCCTCCATTTCTCCTTAGCTCTTTATTTTGAAGAATCCAGATATGCAGACAAATTGGAAGAACGATGTAATAAATGCTGTACTCATCCATCCTTTGTTTAGATTCCTTAATTTTGTCACAGTTGCTTTATTTCTGTGTGCATGTATGCACATAAACACACACACACACACACACATACACACACACTTTGTTTTTCTGAAACATTGCTGGTATCATGGTTCTTTACTCCTAAAATCTTTAGCACATATTTCCTAAGAACAAGGACATTTTCCTACACAATTATGAAGCCATTGTCAAAATCAATAAATATAAAGTACAATAATATCTGACAAAAGTCCATGGTTGGATTTCTCCTATTGGCTGAATTAGGTCCATCATCACTTTTTAATTTTCATTTAGCTGCATAAAGAGCTAAATTATTATGAGATTAGGGCTGGTCACAAAATGGAGGTCATTGGGAATATGAGCTCCCTCCCCAGCTCCTCCTTTTCCTTTCTGCTTCCTGACTGCCATGATGCGAACCCTTCTGCCATGCATGCCTTTCTTCCTTGGAGCCAGCGGTCTATGGACCGAAACCCTAGAAAACGCAAGGCAATTAAACCACTCTTCCTTTAAATTGTAGGTGTTGGGTATTATATCTCAGAAACAAGAAAAGTGACTAAGACCCTGCCTCTCTCCCTCCCTCCCTCCTGTCCTTCCTTCTTTCCTTATTAGAATATCACTATGTAGTCAAGGATTCTTTTTGGCATTCAATGCATAGCAATATTTTATGGTATTGACAGTCATTCATTTTAATGTTCAAATTAGTCTCAAATTTGACCATTGGGAGCTGCTTTGAGCTGGCTTTTGTGTGTTTTGATGTGTCCAATAGCTTTGAGCACTTCTTTGCTTTCTGGCACAAGATATCCCAGAGTCAACTTTTATTCTTATTTTATAGAGGTGGGAAAGGAGGCTCAGAGAGAGGAAATGGCTGCATCCTCACAATATTTGGTGGCTCCTGATCAAGCTTAGCACTTTGGATTTACATTCTTAGAAAAGTAACTAAACTAATAGACCAGTCCTATGGTGCAAAAGGATCTTATCAAGACATGTAGATAAATGACTCTAAATCCAGCTGAATCCTTAGTTGACTGCACACACAGTTTGTCTGATAAAGTGGAGACATCTGGATAATAACTTGGAACTTAGATAATTAGCAACCTATTCCAAGAATATTTTATTTATTGAGGATATTGGTATAAGAGCATAGGCTTGGATTCAGGAATAAATAAGCTTTCCTTTAATCCTAAAAAGATTATTTCCTTGTGTATGTTTTTGGAAAATGAACTTCATCATGTTGAATCTCAGACTTTTCTATCTGTAAAACAGGATAAACATACTTATCTCCTAAAATTATATGGATTTATTCACAGAAAGTCCTTAGTGTCGTGTCTGGCACATGTTAAGTGCTCAAGAAAAGAAATCTACCTTTACCAAGGTTTTGTTGTTACCTAATATCTGAGAGGGCTGAGGATGTGACTAAGAGGCAGGGGGCTTCCCTAGCATGCACAAGGCCCTGGGTTCAAACCTCAGCACCAAAATAAAATGAGATAAAATAAAATCTAAGAGAATCCTGTTATTCAGTAAGCTATAAGTTGATAGAAAAAGCAATGGATTTGGATTCTGAAGACTCTTGTCCAGCCTCTGTGACCTTGGATGGATGAGTCCTGTCCCCCATCCATGAACTGCATTTTCTTCACATATGAATCAGAACTCATAATCCCTCCTCTACGAATACAAAGGCATAACTCCACAAATTGCATGAGGGCCTGCTATGTGCAGGGTAATCACATTCCTAACATGAAATCTAAAGGGTGAGCTTGACTAACCCATTTGACACAGGAGCCACTGACAATCTAGAGCCAGTGAGGAGCCAAGCTGGGTCTCCTTGACTTCCAGGTTTCCCTGGCCTCCAGCCCTGTACTCTTTCCTTTAGGTCACAGAGCTCAGAAGGGCAAACAAGAGGTAAACATGATGAAGCTCTGCAAAGCCACAGAGCCCTGTTAAGGTGAAAGCACATTATCATTGCCAAGTGGCTCTCCTTCCAAGGAGTATGTCACTGGGAGGAGAGCAAGAGATGTAGGATATTTTTTCTTTTTTTTCTGTCTTTGCAGTAACTTGTGAGAGTCTTGGGTTAGCATTGTTTACCAAGGACTCCTCTTGTACTTCAAACAATGACTGGGTGAAGGTAGCAGAGATCAGCCCAGAACCAAATGCCTCAATTGAATAAGCTGATTAGAAAAGCTCTTTGAAATTGTAATACATTTAGGGCACTGTTTCTGAGAAGAAAAAAACAACCCTGTGACTTCACTGGGTGTCAGATCTCCAGTTCAACTGGGAGCTTAAGAAGGAGAGGAAAAGTGATCCAAATTTTCAAGACTCATTATAGGGTCATGCATTGTGAGAGTTCATGGTGATGTGGCAGGCAGGTGCTCCTTTGTTTCAAAGATGAGGAAGATGCCAAAAATAAATTTAGAAAAAATGATGTTGAAAACTTTTAATTTTAAATATATGAAAATATTTGCTGCTTGCTAAAGTTTGTATCTGGAATGTCACCCAAATGTCCAGGTGTTAAAGCCTTGGTTCCCAGTTTGGGAGGGAGTAGGATTGGGAGGATTGGGAGGTAGTAGGATCTCTAAGAGGTGGGGCATATTGGAAATTTGGTCATTGAAGGTGTGCCCTTAAAGGGAAGAGTGGGTTCCAGGCTTTCTTTCTTTTTTTCACATTCTTGCCATGAAGTGAGAACGTTTGTTCTACCATATGCTCCCCACCATGATGTGCTACCTTGCCACAGGCTCAAAACCAATAGTGCTAATTGACCATGGACTGAACTCTCTGAAACTGTGACCCCAAATATACTTTTTCTCTTGTTAAGTTGATTATCTCAGGTACTTTGGGTTTTTGGTTTTTGGGGGTGTTTTTTGGTAGCGGGGATTGAACTCAGGACCTCAAACTTGCCAGAAAGGTGCTGTCCCACTGAGCTACATCCCCAGCCCTCAGGTGCTTTGTTATAGTAATGAAAATCTGACTAACACACAGCTGTTCCAGATTAATATGGGAGGAGGTAGTAGAGGGGCTGGAATATCCAATGATCTCAAACCTAATTTGTTGTGTCATAGCACAAAATGAGTTGATTTTTTTTTTCTCTTTGGTACTGGGGATTGAACTCAGGACCTTGTGCTTGTAAGGCAAGTGGCAGAAACATTGAGCTAAATCCCCGGGCCCAGTGAGTTGTTTCTTTTGAGCTCAAGATAGGACTTGCTTCAAATGGTCTCTCCACTGTTAAGCACAGGGTCTGGCATCCAGTGGAAACTTAACATTAATGAGGGTATCTGGGGTGTTACTGGAAATCTTGACACCTCAGGGCATTTCCTATGATAACAAAAATCATTTTTAGTCTGTATAAATAAAAGTCATTCTTCCATTTTACCTTGGGAATAGTTAGTTATTCCTTTTCAAAGCTTTTAGCACTGATGGTGGAGTTAAAAAGTAAAAGGCCATGTATATTTGTAAGGGATGAGTGCATTAGGAAATTAACAGACTTCAATCTTGTTATCTTTATTAAAATTTCTTTCTTTTCTTTCTTTCTCTCTCTCTCTCTTTCTTTCTTTCTTTCTATCTTTCTTTCTTTCCTCTTGTGTTGGGGATTGGATCCACACTCAGCAAAAGCTCTACCACTGAGGTACATCCCCAGGCCCCTAAATTTTTATTTTATTGCAGTAAGAACACTTAACATGAGGTCAGCCTTTTAAACAAATTCAATGCATACAATACATTACTGATGACTATAGGTACAATGTGCTGCAGCAGCTCTCTAGAGCTTATTCAATTTCCTTATCCAAAGTCAAGAGTAAAGAAAGAGGTATTTGTGTGTGTGTGTGTGCATGTGTGTGTGTGTGTGCATGCAATTGTTTGACAGATCTCTACCTAGCTCTAGAATTCACAGAGGAGCAGCAACAGTTGGGTCTGAGGAAGGCCAGAATTCAAAAACTTTCAGAGTCATACAAGTAGGAAGCAGAGGCTCAAGGGCATTCCCTTTCGGAAACTTTTCCTTTTCCTGATGTTTGCTTTGTGGCCAAAGTGGCCAGGTGATAACCTCAGCTTCCAATTCAGAGGAACAGTTGTGGGGTTTTTTTGTATATCCTTTTATTGGTACATTTTAGGTGTACAACATAATGACATTCATCAGTGGAGATCTGCACCTTTACATACTCTCTTGGTTCTTATTTTTCCCCATTCCCCTGCCCTCCCTTCAACCCCTCCATCCCTCCCTATTTACAAAGACTTTGTTTCCATTTTTTCATTTTCTCATATTAATTCCATTCCCTTCTTTCCTTTCCCCTACCCCTCCCACTTCCCCCTCCCCTTTGCCCCTTTTCTTCCTATTTCACATTATCTACTATACCTTTTAGTCCTTATTTACACTTTCAATTTCTCACACTAGAGAAACTATTTGCTATTTACACGTGTGTCCTGTTTATTTCACTTAAGAGTATCATCTCAATGTGCATCCATTTAGCAATAAATGTCTCTAATTTCTCATTTTTTTTTTAAATGATAGGTTTTTAAAAATTTATTTATTTCATTTTTTTTTTTGGTACCGGGGATTGAACTCGGGACCTTGTGCTTGTGAGGCAGGCGGCAGAGCCACTGAGCTAAATCCCCGGCCCTTAATTTCTCGTTTTTGATGGATGGCTGAGTAGTACAATAAATTGAGTATAATTTTTTTGTTCTTTTTTTGTTTTGGTACCAGGGATCGAACTTGGGTCCTTGCACTTGCACAGCAGGCGGCAAAACCACTGAGCTAAATCCCCACCCCTGGAAGAACAGTTTTTAAAATACATACAGCATCTTGATCATTTTTACTTCCCCATCTTTTTCTCTCCCTCCTTATCCAGATTCTCTTCCCTTTTCTACAGTCTCCCTCAATCCCTGTTTCTTCCCCTACCCCCATACCAGGAATCGAACTGAGGACCTTGCTCTTGTGAGGCAGGCATGGCACCATTGAGCTAAATCCCCAGCCCCCCTCCCTCTATGTTTCTTAACATGG